TTCCTCTTGCCCCCTCGAGACTTTCAACCGCCCCCTCGGAAAAAAAACCTGGATAAAACACTGCTTTTGCGGGCGGAGAACCCATGTTTTCTCGGCAAAAAGTAGTCGTTGACCTTCCCCTGGACCAAACGATATACCATGCAAGGTTTGGTCGCATTTGTTTGTACGGTGTGGATAAAGAGCAGAAAAAAAAATGGGGAGAACCCCCTCACCCTCTGGGGGGGGGGGGGGAGGAGGGGTGTGGACCCCGTCTTGACCTTCCAATGAACGAAAGGGTATACCATGCAAAGTTTGGTCGCATTTGCTCGTACGGTGTGGAAATGCATGAAGAACAAACAAGCAAACAAACTTTCTTCTTTATATATATAGATTGAACAAAAAAACCTAAAATTTAACATAAGCTTGATGATATTTTGCGACAATTAAATATTCTTGATAGCTAACTAAATATTTGATATTGACTGTTTGACAAAACTTAAAAAAACTCAAAGATAATAAATAATTAATTATCATACTGTTGTTCTCATATTGATTTACCTTATGCTAATTTTAAAAAATAACTTCCATACGCATCGATATGATTTGTTTTATCTAAATTCAATAATCTTATATTATGAATCTCAATATATTTTTAAAATAAAATTTAAACAAATTTATATTTCATCATGAATTCTTATTGATAAATCACTTAACGATATATAAGACAGTTCTGAATGAAATGGAATAATTCCATTCTATCTCAGCCCGTGAAACAAAAATTTTTCAATCATTCCATGAGTTTTAATTGAACAAATATCTCGTTCCATCGAACTTTCTTCTTTGTTTCTCGTATAAAAATGTAAAACAATGTTTAAAGTATGATCTGTATGTTTCATAACTTTAAAAAAGTTATGCTTTTCCCATTGATGGATCAAAGCAATGTTTTTGGAAAATAATCATAACAAATAAATTCAAGAATTAATCACTCGAATAATGATTACACAAGAATTTTTCTTGCATAATACTATGTCCATAAAATTGCAAAGGTCATAAGTAAAAAGACTTTAAGAACTGATCATCGTGAAAAAAATAGATAATGTTCTAAGAAAGAAGTTTAGCATATCGGAGATCTGTCGAAAAAAATCGTATTCCTAATTTTTTATAGATATGTATCATAGAGCACTGATGAAGTATATTTTCGGATAAGATCTGATTTTCATTAGGAGCACTTGAGTTGGATACTTCATTTGTTAAAGTACTGTCTGAAGCGATTGCCATCAACAAATGCAATAGTTTATTTATAACTATTTGTTTGAGATCAATTAATCATATACGATTATTAGCAAATATTTTGTGATACAGTTGGAATAGTTGTTTTGGAGAATAATCACTAAAGCTTCGTTATATGATCAATGAAGAGCAAATAATAAGAAGGCAAAGTATAATTGAATTAGCACAGATTCAAGTAACATGATTTGCTAATAAAAGATTTATCGAGTAAAGATAAATTTTACATCACCTTTCTTAAATATCAACTCTTCAGAAACGATCAAAATATGTTTTTATATGTGAAATATAATTAAGACATATTTATTTGTATATTTCTGTATTTTCAATTTTTTCTACATTCACATTAATTCATTCTATCATCATTTTTTTGCCACAAGACGATAATTCTAGATAACATGCATGCTTCTTCAAATAAACCAGTTTGAAAAAAATTTTCGCAGTCATCATGGTTTGGCTGACGACATTACCTTTTTTACTTCACTCTTGAATAGCTACCTCAAGACGAGTATGTAGTTGATGCAGTTAACCACAACATGTCAACTATTTTTTATTCGTCATTGTTTTCGTGGTAACGATCATATTCATGTATGTGATTATCCATTGTTTTGACATATAATGTGAAGAAATGAAAAAATAATATCGTCCGTCGTTAATTTCAGAAAAAGGAATGCAGCTCTAAGGGTGTGGGTGTGGGTGTGGGTGGGTGGGGTGTGAGGGTGGGGAAATCTTTCTGTTTCATCGGCTGCAGCACCCACACCCTCAGTATAAAAAACTGAGTTGAATGATGTATCTTTCAGGTCAATTTGACTACTTTCATTTTTCGATATTTTTTGGACACCTCCACCTGAATTCTCATCGTTTATCAAAAGTAAAAAAAATGTCGAACAATGAAAGTAGTCAAATTGACCTGAAAGATACATCATTCAACTCAGTTTTTTATACTGATTCCGAATCTGATATTGGTTTTTAGGCAAAAGTCTCATTTAAAATTGAAATTAACTAAATGCTGGGTAAAAAGGCTAAGGCACCAAAAGAAAATATGATTTCTCAAAATAACAAAGGAAAATGAAAAAAAGCGATTCATATTGTTTTTGCCCATCAAATGGCGATTCGAATGGCATAAGAATGAAGGTTCTATAACTTACCAGGAAAAACTAGATAGATTTGCAACATTGGGTACTACCATTGGCAGGGACTCTGGATCATGAATTTTTTAGAATGGGTATGTAATATGCAATAAACCTCTAGACAACATTTATAGACTCAGCTTTATATGGAGAATCTAAAAGTCATATCGATATAATCCAAAAATGGAATAGCGAAGAATTCAAGGTTATTTTTTTAGAACAAGGCTATTTTTACAAATTTTGACACCCGGTCAATATGTTGCGTTTTTCTTCAGGAAAAATTTGTCAAATCAGAAAAATAAGGACATATTTGTAATCAGCGGAAACAACTGAATCTAGTAATGTGTGTTTGAGCTAAAAATAAAGAGTGCTCAAATTTTGCATTACCGGCACCTTACTTTCTAAGCGTTCCAAAAGTGCCCAAGATGTTACTTATTACTCAATTAATATTGAAAAAAAAATGTCATATTCCTAATCAGCACATTCTGCTTTGGGTGTGAATACAGATGACAATAGCCACATCCTCTCACCCACACCCAAAACTGAAATGCTTAAGAAACAGTCCGAAAGCGGCAATGTCGGTGGAGAAATTCCATTTCTTGAGGATTTGGTAAGCCCCAATGTAGAAGGAAGCATTAGCTTGGAAGCGTTGAACAAAGAGGAGAGAGAAAAGGTTTTGGAAGCAATGAACGAATTTAAAAATGTGAATGAATGGAATGGCGAAAAGTTTATTCCGAAATCACTTTCGCTTAGCCTAATAAATTTGGCTGCACTGCGAGCGAGTTCTGAAATTAGGACCACGCAGGTCCGCGTAATGAAGACTTCGTCCGAATTAAGCACCGGAATCAACATTGTAAACGATATTCGAATTTTAGAGAATCTACGTAAGGTGATTGAAATTGAGATAGTCATACATAGAGAAGGCAAGAAACGTACAGAGGCCGTACGAGACGACACATTGCTCATTCGAAATCATGTTTTAGAATTAGAGAAGAAACAGAAACAGCTAATCCCCATCAGCTTTGCTTATGTTTAATTTCCGTAACAGTCCGCTCCCAATGAAATATGAACAACATTCAAATGGAAGGACGTCACTTCTCTGTATGCTGGAGTCTTCTTTAGAATCAAAGGTTCAGCTATTGCAGCCTTTGGAACTGTGCAGAGCGAGAACAATCCCGGGGTTATACACATCGCCAAATGTTTTGACATTCGAAATTTAGTGTATCAGTTAAATTTCACAAGCTTAAATGGATGGAGTGCCGCATTTCATAATGATGGAAATGATGATTGGTGCCGCTGTTTAAAATTCCACGTACGACCAGGAGATTTACGACCGGTAAATATGGCTATTAGAATATGGAGACGTGTTTAAATTTCTCAACTATTTTCAGATTAACAGTAAATTGTTGTTAAGAATCTAAATAGCTGTAGGTGTGACTGTTCCTTTTCTGTACATTCGCAAACACACGCTAGCAGTTTTGCTATAATTAGATTTTTTTTTTGATGTTGCAATTTTGATTTCACACATCGAAAATTTATTAGTGATCTGTTTAATAAAAATAGTTCTTAAATGAAGCTAAAAATGATCAATCGAAAAACACATGACTCTCATTTTGAAACAAATGAGATCACTCACATTCACTCACACTCTAAAGTCTATAGATCAATCTTGGTACTTTTGTGTACGTTCATTGAATATCAGACTAGAAGAATAATGAATATTTTTTCATAAAAATTCATCGATAGTATCGAGATGAGTCTTTTTTAATCATATGCATCGTTTATTCTCATTTAAAACAGATGACAATCAAGTTACATAAATTAGCAATCTGTGGAAGAAGGTAGAAATGATGATGTAGATTGAGAAATGGTATGCGTTAATGGAATATAACGTTGAATTTCATGAAGAAAAGTAACATAATCACTAATTGTTAATGTTCTATGGTGTACATTGGCTAATTCACTTTTCAATGATTGATACATTGATTCACGATTGATCATACAAATTTCATAGAGCTGTAAAAGTCGATGACCATCCAATCGTGAACATAGAAGAAGCATAGTATTATCAATTCCGTTTGTTAGAAAAAATGATTGAACATGATTATTAGTCCATTGAGTAATGCAATGAGGTAGTTCACTATATAAAGAAGAAATAATATAGAATGAGAAAATACGAACAAGAGAAAGTTTTAGATTATTTGTCTATTTCAATATAGACTTCGCTTGACAACTGTTTCTATGATCTTAAAATTGATTAAAAAAAAATCTTTTCCTCTGAAGATGAGCATCGGTCAAGTTCCAAAAAGCAAGACTATTTGAATAATATCTTCGTAACTATTGCGTCTATTGTGAAATATTTCATTTTCAATATCATCACTATCAGAAACAACTTTCTATTCTATGAATTTTTCAGTTATGCATTGCAAAACAAAACTCACACGATCGAAGATCTATCGATCAATATCGAAGCATGTTGAACAGATTTCGAAATCGTAGAAGAAATATCTTGATAGTTGTTTTCTTTAGATTTTATCATTGAATAATTCATATTCAGTTGACAATGTTGTTTTATTTCTTTTTTCAATTTTTCATAAGCCAATGTAAATTCGATCTTAGTAAAATCTACATAAATTTTACCGCTTACCATAATACCAAGCCATCCATCAGGCTTATAATAAGGTTTCATAATAATTGGTATCAAATGACAACGTCGTTCAAATGCATAATGTGCTTCTGATTGACAATAGACACTTTGTTTATATGTATCCGACATACATATAAGAACAAATTCAGAATTTTCAATAGCTTCTGCCACATCAATCATTGTAGTTCCATACATGTTATCACGATCGATCCAAACATTAAATCCATCTTGAACAAGTCGTTCATAAATTTGATAACATAATTGTCGATCACTATGTGAATAACTTATCATAATATCGTATTTATATGATTTTGAATTAGTTGAGTTAGCAACAACTTCAGCTTCTTTTTCTAATTTCCAAAGAAGAGCTTCAGCAGCTCGTTGTAAATTTGATTTCTCCGAATTAGTACTATTGACAAGATTTCGAATTCTTGATATGAAATTTATATTTTGTCTTAAAGCCGATGAAGCATCATTATTAAATGAAAGTGCCAGAAGAATTTCGAGAACTATTGGTTTGACTTTAGTTGAATCAAATTCATTTTCAATTATACATCGTATGAGTAATGGAAGTGCATTTTGTTTTATTAATTCATCTTTGACTTGATCATGTTGAACAAAATCTAAAGACAATAAATCATATGAAGAGATTAGTAAAAATAAAACAAAATATAACTTACTTTTCAAACTCCGTAATATATTATAAAATCGTTGATGGTTTGTTTTTGAATCATCAATTGTCTTCAAAAGAGACTTAACATAGACACTCGTAATCTTACTCGGACTTGCCATAGTTTTAATATCTGTTTCATTCATTAATTTACCCAAGCAACGATAAGTATTCAATTGTATTTCATCTTCTTCAATATCAGTCATTTGAAGTAGCATTGGAATTAAATTTGGTATTGTTTTCATAAAATTTAATACATTTGTATGTAATGTAAAATCGTACAAATTTTGAGCGATCATTTTTTTTATTAATATAACATTCAAATCATTTGATGAATAATTAAGTATCACTGATAAAAATGATGTCCATTTAGAAACTAATCTACAATAATCATTATAGAATTCTTGATTTGAAATATTGATATCTTCCCATTCGACAAGACGAACAAGAACATTATTCAAACGACGTAGAATATTTCTAATATCTTTAGAACAATGAATAATTGAATTTGAATGACAACTTATTATCCATTGAGTAAATGGACTCAATAATATACGTGGTATTTGAAGAAAAACTTCCGATTGATGAATAGGTGGATACCATTTGAGATACAATGGACATGTAGTAAGAAGAAGTATTTGACCTTGATTGAGTTTTTGAGAAAAATTATATTCCAGGCTTTTTATTATTTCAATAGAATATGAAGAACATAAGCATTTAATAACAGCAAGAAGCAATGATGTAGTCGATGAAGATTCATTTATTATATTTTGTAATCTATTAAAATATTGATATGTCATTAGTAGACAATGAATTGAAGTGAGAAAATGAGGATCATCTAAGTATTCACCATTGTCACCAATCTCATTGAGACAATTGGTAAGTTCATTGATTAAAGGTTGATGAAAAAGAAGTTGCTTGAATAGATGAGCATTAGTATTATTGATATGATGACTGATATTTTCAAAAAATGTTGACAGATCGGACAATAGTTCGCATGCAATACCTTGATTTTGTCTTCGACGAAGATAATCAACAAGGACAGAATCACGTAGAATGATGAAAAGTGGATGTGTGATGAGTTCATGATCGATTAGTTGTTTATTCTTGGATGAAAAATAAGTTAATAAGGAAACAATTTGTTTGATCAATTCAATTTCCACAGTAGAGCTATCAGACTTCTTTATTTCGGAAATGAATATATCCAATGATGTTTTGAGTTGTTCAACGCTAATAGTTGTTGATTGTTCGTCAATTGTAACACAATCATGATCCACAACAGTATTCATCTCTGATTAGATATTTAAAAGAAAAATAAAGTACATTATGAGTAGTTCGAAAACCAGTAACATTGAATCGAAGACTAAGAAAACTTTTAAGAGCTGATATCACATGTTTTGTTATGAGCTGATCACAGAATATATTTCATACGTTTTTGTCATTGTACGTACAAATTGTATTTATTCTTATTCATATATTTCTACTGTTATATCTTGGTTATTATATCAAATATTAACACTAAGCATAACATTTTATAAATAAAAATTGTTGTTATTTATTTTGAAGTCAAATCAACTAAAAAAAACTTATGAAGAAAAGAAGACTCAACAACTGCTAATCATATTTACTATCCGTAGCCTTATAATTCTAAGAACAAACGTACATTATCATAGACGACAAATTCACTTAACTAATTATCTATCTATGACACTACATTTATTCTTAGAATCATAATACTGCAGATCGGTAGGTTCGAATCGATCCTGTCGGTAGACAGAACGATTTTCTTCGGTTTGAATCACATGAGTATGATCAGAATTAAACTCAAAGAAGTTGTTTTCTAAGACAATATACTTATTTTCCAAGGCAACAATCAACAGATGATCTATTCAAATTTCTAAATGGTGTACAAACAAACTCATTTGAGTTTCTTAAGAGGAACAAGAACTTTTAAAAAGATACGAAAGTTTTTAAAAAAATCTTTTTTTATTTTATGTATGTCTGTGTCTATTGATGTAGTTTTCTCTTAAAGTTACATTCAAAATCTGCTCTAAGTCAATAATAACTATTGAGCATCAATTTTCAATTAAGAAGACATCATCGAGACAATATTGACGTTCACAGCTATAGAGTCACGTGTATCACTGAAACTATTTCGATCCATGAGAAGTTATTAGCGTTTTCAACTGTATTATTTGGAAATCTTTCCTTATTCATCAATAGTTTAATATGACTTATATCAAAGGAAAGACCTGATTGTTGATCATCATTTCCACAATAGCAAAGAATTTTCGATTATATAGTTGTTTGAACTAATTTTACAACTCAAACGTATCAATCAAAAAACATTAGGATAATCTTTCTGTTGTTTTTTACACGCTGCAAAATGAACCTAAAGAATGATACTACTATTTAGAAATTGTCTTTCTTCCATAAGTTCGAATAGTATTACAATAAGCAGCATATTTCAATGCTTGTAGCTTACCTTTTCAGTATCACTTAGAAGAATAAAATCAATGAGAGCTGTTTCCAAAAAATTTTGGATTTCTTTTTCAAAAATGAAACGTGTGACTGTGTTGATGTACGATGCTGTAACAATACTTGTTCTTTATATCTTCCATCTGCTTGTTCTCTCATGAAACAGATAACAAGGAGAAAACATTTTATAGGCGATATATATTTTTTTTCTTTTCTGGCCGTGTATTATTTCTATTACGCAAAGTATGCTTATACTGTATCTCTTTGCAAGAGAATATCTACTACCTTGATGGTGCGGTACGTGTGAACTATCGGGATGCAAGTGTGTATGTGGAGGTAGGCATGTTGGCGTGAGCGTATGAGCCAAAAGAGGACCAGCATCAACGCTCTTTGGTGAGTTTGCTTTGAGATAGAAATAACATTGTGAGGCAGTATGCTTATGGGTGTTAGTGTGAATGTCATTTTGTTCCGCAGTCCCAAAGGCACATCCAACACTTACCAAAATTCACTCCCGTTCATACCCATACTCACACTCTTTCGTCGTTATGTAGACCTGAAACACTGGAAATAGATTGACAAAATACAAAAAAACCTCGAACATGTTATTCACATAATAATATTCTGTTCTATAGCCGGATTAGTAAAGCATTGGAGAAGGTCTTTGTGGCAATCATTAGATATCTTTTGCAAGAACGATTGCATTCTTTGCTAGATAGACTCAAAGTTGTAATGAATAGAGTATTTCACGCCAAACTTCAGGCAGTTCTGTGAGTACGCTCATTTTCCCGAGTGTTAGACTTTTGGGCTTCGTTGAAATTCTGAAATAGAAACGTTTTTTATTTTTTGTGGTATCTACTATTAAAGCTTATTGAAAGGCTTCGTTTTGGGTGTAGGTGGGTGTGGTGTGGGTGTGGGTGTAGGGTGTGGGTGGGTGGGATATGAGGGTGGAAAAATCTTTGTTTCATCGGCTTCAGCACTCACATCCACTCCCACACTCACACCCCAGCCACACCCACATCCACCCACACCCATACCCTAAAAACAATCCAGTAATAATAACGATCTTGAACATTAAATAGAAGTTCATTATTGAATGCGTAAACTGCCCGGCTGAGCCACCGCTGCCGTCGATTTTGTCGAAAAAATTACAGCTGCGGGCACCGTAATGACAAAAATTTGAGAACTTCTAGGCCGCCGTTGTTGCCAACAGAAATTTTTGAAAGTATCAGTCGACGTGTATTATGTCTTAGACTCTCCTGATTGGACCATCTATATCAATATAAACGAACGTCTAGCATCTATATTTTCTAGATACTTCAGCTAATCTATGATAAACCGGATCTCATTCATATAAACGAAAAAACGAGAAGAAAGAAAGAAAATGAATAAACACAATACAATCGATTGATTAACTGTAAGGCACCAGTCGTTCATATCGTGCTGATACGATAAATGAAAGTGGACTAGAGCTCGTCGGGTCCAAAAATTTTTCAATTCGGACCCGGAAAAAGAAGTATGTGTGATTTCATCATTTTTAATATTAATGTATTATTCAAACATGCATCTTATAGAGAAATGTTTCTTCTTTCAGCTCATGTGTTTAGGAACATACAACAATCCTTTGTATCCGAAATTTTATTATTACAAACGTCTGGATCCAAACTTGGACCCGATCAGACCCGGAAAATGTGGACCCGGACCTTTGTAATAAAAAAATTTCGGACACAAAGGATTGTTGTGTGTTTCTAAATATATCAGCTGAAAGAGGAAACATTTCTCTACAAGATGCATGTTCGAACAATGTATTAACGTTAAAAATGATGAAACCACACATACTTCTTTGTCCGGGTCTGAATTGAAAAATTTTTGGACCCGACGGGCTCTAAAGAGGACACCAATCTACATTATATTTCACTTCTAGAATCTTATGAGTTGAGTAGAAAAAAGTGTGGATGGGTCCCAAATTCAATTGTAAATGTGATATTGATTTTGATATATTTTATTATGTAATTCCCTCGACTGAAAGGAGGTTCATATGAAATAAAACGGAGGTGGCGGAACGTTTTGAATTTGGGTGAGGCTCAGACGAAGATATGATCAAGAGTATATAGGGGGCGTGCAGGAGATGCTCATCAATTTACTCACTTACAAAAAAAAATCAGCTTTTTACAACCAAAATTGTATTTCTTTAATAAAAAAAACATCGTAGAATAGGAAAATAAATTTCAGCATTGCTCCACTTTTTTCTCTTCATCACATTCTTGTGCTCAGTGGAAGTTTATTTGTGATGATAAAATAACTTCTCAAGTAGCAGTATGAGCTAAGTCGACAAATTGAAGGTGAAAAATCGTTCCAGAATATTTAACAGTGTTATTGCCACGAAAAAAAGATTCATTTTACTATTGTCGAAAATAAAAATATTGAAAAAGAAAATTAGAGAGGTGCCGAAAAATACAAATGTTGAAAATGATAGTATATGAAAGTAAGAATTCCGTACCCTCATCCTCACTGTTGACCACATATTTCTATCTCTCATGTTTGTTTTCGATATTTTTATTTTCAACATTTTTACCTTTCGACCAAAGTAGGGTGAACCGGGAAGGTATTGTAGGTGTGCGTTTAGGGAAGAGATGATACCGACACACACACCCGTTGCGTGTGATGATTAAATTAAATTATTTGTATTTAGTGATTTATCAGAATTATGAAACAGTCTAGATTGATTTTCAGATTCTACAGAAATTTTCCAGCAAACTATTAATTTTCGACGAATTGGATGTATCAGAATCAATAGCAAATTAAGTTACAGAGCCGATGTTCGTATTTTTATATCACAAATTTGTTGAAAAATCAGTAAGCTCGATAGAGCAGTTTCTTCCGTTGAAAGAGTCACTGTTTGACCTTTTGTCTTTTTCGTAAAATAGTCAAGATTTGATCCAACAGATAGTTTTGGTGAAATTTATTGATTAAAGTCGAAAATTTGGAACTGTTAAAATGCTGCAAAAAAAAAGTATTCTTTATCCAATTAGTATTTATATAAATGCTAAATTACATAGTGATGAGCGAAGATAACATAATAAAATTCTATCACAGCGTTACGATTGTTATTTTGGATGCATCCAAACAATTAGAGTTTTGGCTGAATTTAAATAATTAGTATGGCTGTATTTCATCCAATAAAACTAAAAAAATGACTACATCAAAAAAGAGAAGATGGACCCTCATATAAAGCTAGTTTTGGTGCTTATTGATCGTATAATTCTAGGATTCATTTAGTTTACACGGTACTTTATGTGACTAAGATAATTATAAAGTATTTTAATAAACCGTGACATCACAGTTGGTGAGTTTACTATTATTTCAGTTTTTTTAGTTCTCGTCATCCCCGTATATAAACAAGCGTAATAGAAGTGCCAATATTCACATTAAGAGAAGATTTGCACATTAAAATAAAGCTAAGCTATCGCATGACCAAGCCTCCACTTCATATTTTGACTGAAGCTGAGCCTACGGGAGCCAACATCGGGTGAGGCTCAAGCTTCAGCCAGCCTATTACGCTTCGGCGCCTATGAATTAATCCAAATTTAAAAATTGATGAATCACTTTGGAAGTTAGTATTTTATTTTTTAAATAAATTTTCTTTTTATTTAATTATTAAATCCAGTTGTGGTTTAATCAAAATTCCAATAGTAACAAAAAGTTTTACACAAATTGTATGTTTTATTTAAGTATATTGATGTTATTGAGTTATTATTAGTATGAT